CCATCTCCCCCCTCTTTCACTCTCTCTCTCTCTCTCTCTCTCTCTCTCTCTCTCTCTCTCTCTCTCTCTCTCTCTCTCTCTCTCTCTCTCTCTCTCTCTCGTTTTCTCCCCCTCCTTTTCCTCCTCCTCCCCCTCCTCTTCCTCCCTCCCCCCCCTCCCTCTTCATCCCAGCATACAATCCGAAAGAAACCTCCGCCCTTCCAGCCTGGCATCCCGTCAGATCAAAAGAAAATCAAGGCATTACTGTACATCTTCGGGATTGCTATGATTCCTCATGTTTTTTTCGGATTAGACATGACTTGCAACTTTTCACTCTAGTTGGCTTCCCCGCGCACGTTCCAAGCCTTGATTTAGAGGCAGAATGCGGGAATAGGAAGGGGAGAAGGAGAGAGAGATGGGGGAAGGAGGGGAGAGAGAGAGGGGGCGTAGGGAGGGTTGGGATAGAGGGAGGGTAGAGGGAGGGAGGGAGGAAGGGGAGAGAGAGAGAGAGAAAGAGAGAGAGAGAGAGAGAGAGAGAGAGAGAGAGAGAGAGAGAGAGAGAGAGAGAGAGAGAGAGAGAGAGAGAGAGAGAGAGAGAGGAAGAGTGGGAGAGAGAGAGAGAGAAAGAGAGAGAGAGAGAGAGAGAAAGAAAGAGAGATTGAGTCACAGAGAGAGAAGACAGGCGTGAACAGCGAAGGCATTTTTGGTGTGAGGAAAAGAGATTTCATTTTTTTCTTACGACCATAGCTGATTTGAATTTACTGGTGTCAGTAAATATATCTGGTATCCGTCTCTCTATTTTCTATTTCTCTTTCAAATTCTCTCTTTCCCTCGCTCCCTTTCTCTCTCTCTCTCTCTCTCTCTCTCTCTCTCTCTCTCTCTCTCTCTCTCTCTCTATCTATCTATCTATCTATCTATCTATCTCTCGTTTTCTAACTTTCGTTTAACCACAACTCCCCTTTCTCTTTTATCTATTACTCTAACTCTCGTTCGTCTCCCTTTCCCCTCGCGTGAGTTCCAGGTCTTGGTTCGACCCAGTGCTCAAGCAGAAGGTAATAGCAGCTCAAAGAACGTCACTCAAGCGTTGACTTTCCCGTCTCTCATCCCTGACAAAAATTAATGAGTTTACGCTCTACGTATCTCACCGACAGTTTCCCGTTTTCTTTCTGGGGAGAAAAAAAAAATTAAGCTGAAAGTAGCAGAAGAACATTAATTGCCGGAGATAATAATGTCAAATTTAAGGCAGAGTTGGCTGTTTGAATTATAGAGTAATTATGTACGGCGGTTTGATTTTTCTCCGGAATTTTAGAATTGGGAGGAAAGGAAAACGGGAAAGGTTCGCCATGCATCGCCGAAGAAAACGGTAATGAGGCAATGCATAGTAATGGCGACAATTTGGTTTTATCCCTTTCCCTCTCTGCCTCTGTCTCTGTCTCGCTCTTGCTCTCTCTCTCTTTCTCTCTCTCTCTCTCTCTCCCTCTCTCTCTCTCTCTCCCTCTCTCTCTCTCTCTCTCTCTCTCTCTCTCTCTCTCTCTCTCTCTCTCTCTCTCTCTCTCTCTCTCTCTCTCTCTCTCTCCAAACACACAAAGTACACACAGTGGCTTTCCAGGGGTTTGTGTTTCCCGTAGCAGTTTGTCACTTGGTGGTTTCGACATCAGTGTTGATAGTTGAATTAG